CTTCCCTTCCCTTCCCTTCCCTTCCCTTCCCTTCCCTTCCCTTCCCTCCCTGCATTCCTTTGTTTTGTCCCTTGCTTGCATGCATCTGCTCACAGCACTATTTAAAACAACATGCATTTTCAGAGGCATGTGCAAGATTCTGTACAACAGAATCTGTTGTCTGTTTTCTGTATTCTTCTGCTATTTGATCACTCACTTTTCTATTCTGTATTTTTCTTAGTCTGTTTCTTTATGAGTTCTTGCAACAGAAGACAATATGGTGGGATTTTGATCTTAAAAGAGACTTCCCCTTTCAACTTAACTTTTCTTTCTGCAGATGAAGAGAACAACCTGTCTATAGCTTCCTTGAGGAATGACTTCTCTCAGTGCCTTTCTTTGGGCCTCCTTAGCTCTCCAGCTGCCTCAGCCATCGCACTGAGTTCCTCCCCTTATCCCTGTTGGGTATGTCATCTGCCAACGTGTCTCAGCCATGCAAGGATTACAGCTTCTACCACAAACTCCTCCTGCCTGGCTACATTCTGATATTCATCACAGGCTTGACGCTGAATGTGATGGCCCTGTGGATATTCATTCGCTACCTGCGCCTGAAATCAGTGGTGATGATCTACATGTTCAATCTGGCCATGAGTGACCTCACCTTCACGCTCCCCCTACCACTGCGACTCTACTACTACTTCAACCATGAGTGGCCGTTTGGCAACACCCTGTGCCAGGTCTCTGGCTCTGTCTTTCAGATCAACATGTATGGTAGCTGCATCTTCCTCATGTGCATCAACCTGGATCGCTATATTGCCATCGTGCACCCACTTCGCTGGCGGCACCTGCGGCGTCCCAAGGTGGCCAGGCTCCTTTGCCTGGTGGTCTGGGTTGTGATCCTCATGGGCTCCATCCCCACAGCCATAGTCCACAAGCAAAACCACTGTGAGTCACAGAACCAGACTACTTATCTGTGCTTTGAAAGTTTTAGTGATGACATGTGGCAGAAAAACCTCTTCCCTCTGGTTGTTCTGGCTGAAATCCTGGGTTTTCTCCTGCCTCTGAGCTCTGTGACATACTGCTCCATTCAGATCTTTCGGGAGCTCTGTCAGGCCAGACAGCCAAAGACACTGCGGCAGCAGAAGACAGTTCGTCTCCTCTTGGTCAATCTAGTCATCTTCGTCATATTTTTTGTGCCCTACAACACTACCCTGGCTGTATATGGTTTGATAAAGGCCAGGGTGATTGATGTCGAGAAGCAAATGCAGGCGTCCGTGCGTGAGGTGCTAATTGTGACAATGATGTTGGCCAGTATGAACTGCACGCTGGACCCCTTGATCTACTATTTCAGTACTGAAGGTTTCCGTAATACCTTTAAGAAACTGCGGCGGGGACAAACCTGGCACTCAGATACAGGGATGATTAGGAATCAGGTTGTGGAACAAAAGTCAACCCAAAACCATGCTGCCTCAACAGCAAAACAGTTACCATCTGAAAACTTTCACTGTCCCGGTGAATCTGTGCCAGCACTTCCTACTACAGTATTTCTGAATGGCCCTATTGAGGACTCAGAAATCTAACCACAGAAAGCTCCTAGCATTGCTGAGTTTCAGAGTGGCCCATTCAATAATTACATCAAGGCTGTGGAAAACAGCTCAGGGTTGCTTAGAAAACTGAGAGAGCGTGGCAGGCTATTTGTGGGTGAATGTGGTGATACAAAGCTGAAGAATGAAAAGTTGTTGTCAATAAACACAGATACATTGATGACATGACTCTTTTGGTACAGGAAACATAGTAGGGAACAAGTGCTTGAAACAAGCATACTGTGTCTAGGTCTATTTAGCATAGGTTCTGATGGCAAATTGATCTTGCCTGGATCTTTGATCCTCCTTTCTGCACTTCATCATGAAAAGGTTTGGGGAACAATCAGAACACAGATATGATACCCTTTGCTAACAAAGTGAAGTTAGTAGTAAATTTGAGAGAAACTCATGGGTTTTTGTTACTCCTATTGTTTTTTAACTCGGTGCTTCAATTTCAGTCATAAGTTCAGTTTAGGGCACCTAAATAAGTGTAAAATGTTCCAAAAGAGTTGAAGTTTTTATTAATTCTTGTTGGAGTCAAGGAAGCTAGCTGAGTATTTAGTGGTCTTGCAGAAAGGAGATCCCTAACTGCACAGTAAGTCACAGACCTTAGCAAAGCAGTCTTTAGTAGGTTCATCAAATGAGATGGTGTAGCTGTATGCACACACATGCAGCACAGTGACTACACATTTATCTCAAGCAAAAGAGTTTGGGGAGTGCTAGCACACTTGAGAATACAGTTAGCATTCACAACAGCCCCAGAAAAAGGAAAGTGCCAGTAGTGCCGGCATATCCAAAGAACACACTGACATTAGTGCTTTGCACTTTCTTGTCACCTGACTGCAAAGTGATTAATTTCAGGTCTGGGTGATTTCCAGTGTCAAAGACAAATGATGTCACAGACTGTGGCTGCAGTGTGAATGCCATATATTTGCCTGCACTGCTTGTACAAGCTTCTCAGCCCACACTGTATGCTAAAGCCATATAAATCTGCCTAGAAGAGAGAGACCCTGTTGTACGCCGGTCTTGACAGAACCCTGCACTACTCTCTCCTGCTTGTGACCAGGGGCTGCATTCCACCAGCACTGTAGCTGAGCCTCTGGCTTCCAACAGAGCCCAGGTCATCCCAGAGCTGGTTCTTTGCAGTATATATGAAGATGGGATTTTGTTGTTGTTGTTTTAAAGAGTTAAAGGAATGATTAGGGAAGCTGGTGAGAAATGTTGTTCAGAGTCAAGCCCATGTTCTTACACTACCTTCCGAATTAGCAGTATGATCCACGTTTCAAGTCTCTGCCTTGTGATTCCTGCGGGAAAAAAGGGTATTGATAAGCATCATGACTTTGTGTTAAAGCACACTTTAGGAGGCACAGAGTCCACTTTGCCAGTCTCCCTTGAAGATCTACCTACCCTGTTACAACTGATCCTGTAGCAGCAGATGTAGATGTTGACCCTCTCCAAGGGACACTTATGCTACAGATTGACCTGGAAGTAACATAACCTGGGCAAGTTGCCTGCACATCCCTTCTCAGCATATGCATCACCAACTGACTCTGAAATACACCTGCAGGTGAATGACATTTAATGGGATCTGAGAGATGCAGTGAGAATGGTGGAGGAGGGCTAGGGGATACTTTTGGTTTGAAAATAAGTTTGTCACGAGGATATGAGCCACATGCCACAGTGCAGCTGGAGAGGATGCACACCTGTGCACTCATATTCCAGCAGACCTAATCTGATTCATTTGTGCTGGAGCAGTATACGTCCCCCTTCCTCTCACCCACCAGCAGGAGATGGGACAGCAAGGGCTAGCTGCTCCCTAGTGAAGGCTGCCAAGAGCACAGGAGACAGGGTAAGGCCTCGTCCACTGCACCTGAGCAAGGCGATCAGGGTGGGTACGGTGACAGCAGCCAGGCTCAGCAGAGGGTACAGATTGCAGACCTTCCCTGGTGATGAGGCAGGTCCAAGGTCATCCCAAGAAGTCAGTGAGTCAGCACTGGAACCAGGCCTGGAGCAGTCACCGGGGTCAGCCTCAGGCCAGTGAGTGCAAGGCAAGCCCGCAGTGACAAGGCCATTCTTTTGCAGCACCTCCAGGCATCCTTCTGCAGCTGACATCCTCACAGAGCACTGAGCTCCCGAGAGCTGGGCTAACAGAGACTGCTCAGAGCCTGCAAGTTTGCCACATATGAATAAACTATCAGGTGCCAATGCTCTGAAGGAGGCTGCTCACCTGCCGAAGCTAAAGCATGGCCCCAGACACAGAAAGAACACGGGAAAGCATCATCTCTTGTAGCTTCATTCTGAAAATAGCTGAACTATTTTTACCTGGAACATTTTATAAATATGCCACCTCCAGCAGAGGAAATTTTAGCTCAAATATTTTGACAAAATTATGAATAACTGAAAAGCCAGTCTCTTAATGGATCTCATAAAATAATTAAGCAATAAAGAAGGCGGCTGGCCATGCCACATGCAATGGGTAAGTTTCTGAGTTTGAATATCCAAGAACTTTCCATAATTGACATAGGTAGGCAATGCTGTACCTGGCCCCAGTGTAGGCTGCATTTACATTTCAAACCATTTTCAGCACACATTAGTTTTGTTTCATTTTTGAGAATTCCAGTCCAGTTTGATTGCTTTGGATTTGTGAATGGCTATTTTTCCTGTTTGCAAGAGAGAATGGGTGCTAGACAAGTTGTCTGCTTCTGCATTGGTACCTTAGTTGGACTGAAGTTTCTATTCCATCATGAGGTGATAAGGAACAGAACATGCATGCACTGTCCCAGTGAAATAAGTCACTAGTCCTATTTGCTTTATAGCTTCTACTTCATGAGCATAAAACAAATAAATTTGAAAGACCTTGGGCATGATGGTGCCCAACTCACCTATTTAAAAATAGTTTCTGGCACAATGCTGATTGCTACAACATGGAACAACTTGAAAGCATGTGTTTAAAACAGCAGAAACAAGGAAAACACACAATACAGAGGTTTTCAAGACAGAAATGTTAAATGGGAACCTAATTTCACCAGGTCTCTTTCAAATTGTGCAAATGCCTCCCTATGTCCTACTGCAATAATTGTTGAAGAAGTATTCTTGGCAAGTATGCTACAGGGAAAAGATGCCATTCATTGCTGTCCTGCACTTTGTGTCATTTGCACATGAAACAAATGTCTTCTTATCAAGTAAGACTAGACAAGTGAAAGGTCAGAGTGATGGCAGATGAGAAGGGAATGCTTATTTCATATGAATTACAGAGATTACCTGCAGAAGAGCCTAAGTATGTTTGGATTTCAAGTCTTTTGCCTTCCAGCACAGATATGCCAGTCACTTTAGGAAGTGCTTTCTTGTTTGGACAATTTAGAAACACTTAGCATTAATTGTAATCCTAATCACATTTTATACTTTCTGCAAATCCACTGACAATCTGCATTCTGTAATTCAACTTAAAAAAAAAAGTTCCAAAAATCCCAGCACAAGCCACATTTACTCTCAAAATTGATCTTGTTATTACTGGTGCTCTTTGCAGCACATCCTGGCTGTGCACCTCCCACCACTTGGTGTCTCCCACCAGCAAAATATCTATGTTGCATTACAAATGCCCTTAGCAACTTGAAAGCTTATGTGCTTTCCTCAACACCTCCTTCTGTGGGAGTTGAAGCACATGTCCTCCAGATGCCCTCCAGAGGTCCCTCCAACCTGACTCCTGTTGTGATCTCCTGTTCTTGTGTTGTAGATGCTAATCAGGAATCACAAGCACAGGGAAGTGTTAGAAAGAAGACAGAAACCTACACCCCACCAACAAACCCTATGAAAATCTGGTTGAAGGCTGCACAATACAGGGATAAGTGCTGCTATCTGGTGTTTCTTCCGCATCACTTGCTTGTACAGTTGCTCCTGGTTGCTCACCTTGCAGACACCTGACCGCATTCCAGCTGCAGCCATGGCCCTCAATTCTGCAGCTGAGAGCAGTCACTCAAAGCTCTGTATTTAAATCCCTTATATTCTGCAGTGCTGACAGGGACTCAACAGAGACCAGGAAACTACTGTGCTGATGCTGCAGAACATCCTGCTGACCGAAACCAACTCAGGCTTTCTTTGCATTTCCCCACGTTTTCTTATCATCCACTGCCTCTGCTCTCACACTGCAAGAGATCTTTGAGCACGGATCACTGTTTGTTTGCCTCACATAGCATTTTGCCCAGTGGGAGAGTGAGTTCTATAGACTTCTCGACAAGGTAAGAATAAAAAGAACAGTATAACCAGAAAACTTGCTATGCTGGAATTGCTATGCTAAAGCTAAACATGTCTTTCTGTGCTTTAACCTATTTAACTCTGCTAGTGACAAGGGGACAGGGAGGTAATTACACCCTCCTGCCCTCAAATGCCGGCTGTCACTTTCCACATCAGCCTCTGAAATACAAGGGAAGAGAAAGCATTCTCCTCCAGGGGGCCAAGGGTGGAGAGGAAGGTTCAAACTTTCCACCACAAAGTGAGGATGAAAGACTTTTTCTGACACTGGAGGTTTAAAAAAAAAAAAAAGAAACAGAGAGAGAGAAGATAAAAATGCAAAGCAAAGAAATAAAGGCATCAGTGAGCTATAAAGCTACAAAGCAGTCAGTCACTTTATCAGGGATGGACACAGATGACAGGACTAAGCACCGGGAACAGCGTGACACCAGAACAGCCTGTCCCAGCGTCAGGCCGACAACTGCAGGGTCCCAGCCTCCTCTTTACCCTCTCAGGAGTCTGGGAGTGCCGCGTGGGTAAAACACGCTGAAACCAGCATAGCCAAGGCTCTTTGACAAGGGGGCGGGACTTGCAACAGAATTAACGATTGGTGATAAGAAACTTAATCTTGGCCAACAGCATCCAACAGGCTGCTCAGGGCCCCATCCAACACGGCTTTGAATACATGCAGGGATGGGGCACCCACAGCTTTTTCGGGCAGCCTGTGCCAGTGCCTCACCGCCCTCTGAGGAAAGGTTTTGTGTCTGGGTGGGGTTTCTCCTTTTCTTACAAATCCGACTCGCATCCATACGGCCGCCTGCACGCGCGGCTCCGGGCCGCCCGACGGCCGCAGGGCCCGGCCCAGCTCCGGTGCGCTGCGCTGCGCGCGTTCTCTCCGTGGCCAACAGCGACCCCTGGCGGCGGCGGCACACGGCGCTCGAGGCTGCGGAGCGA